GAGGCGGCTCGTTGCCACGGAGATGGTGCGAGGCCCGCCGCGTGCCTCGACCATGTGGAGCAGCTCTGCGGCGTCTGCGTGTTCACGAAAGCAGGCGACTCCCCTTTCCACAGCGGGCTAGCTTTTGAGCCAAGGAGAGGCTCGAGCTTGTGCACGGGGACTTGTGTGGCCCGGTGACACCGGCCACACCGGGAGGACGACGCTACTTCATGCTGCTCGTCGACGACCTCTCCCGCTACATGTGGGTGATGGTCCTCGGCAGACAAGGGAGAGGTCGCGGACGCCATCGCGCGCAAGAAGTCGCCGCGGAGGCGAGTGCGGCCGCAAGAAGTCGCGCGTCGTCTTGCACACCGACAACGGCGGGCGAATTCACGACGGTTGTCCGCGTCGCATCGCTGGCCGACGAGGGCATTCAACGCCACTACTCCGCTACCGTACAAACCCGCAGCAGAACGGCAGCGTCGTCGAGCGGCGCAACCCAGACGGTTGTGGGGATGGCTCGGGCCCTCCTCAAGCGAGAGGGGATGCCGGCTATCTTCGGGAGAGGCGGTGGTGACGGCCGTCTACATCCTCAACCGCCGCCGCCTACCAAAGGCGCCGACGGCAGCGGGACGCCGCACGAGGCTTGGCATGAGCGCAAGCCGGCGGTCTCCCCCTGCGGGTCTTGGCGCCTCGCGTTCGCCAAGGAGCTTGGCCACATCAAGAAGCTCGACGGCAGGAGCACTCGGGAGTGTTCATCGGCCACGCGGAGGGCTCGAGGCCTACCGCATCCTCGACCAAGACACGCGCGTGCAGCGCAAGACGCGCGCGGCGTTGTGTTCGACGGCGGCGAGGATGGCGTGGGGACAAGGCGGTGGGCGATGGCTCGGCTCCGACGCACGACGACTTCACTGTCGAAAGTACGCCCATTTCGAGGGAGCTGGGGAGTAGGCGGCTCTTCTTGGCGAAGCACGTCTACCCAGTCCCGAGCCTCCACCGACCGGCGCTGCCGCTACATTCGACAAAGACCACGCTCTCCGGCCAGACCTCTACTGCGATGAGTTCTTCGCCGGCTCCACCACGGTAGCGCGCCACGTACTCCAGCGTCGGCAGCACCTCTCCGCACGTCTACTCCGGCTCGTGTCGAGCACGGCCGGTTGAGCTTCGCTACTCGCTCTCTCTCACGACGAGGGCGATCGACGCGCATACCGACGGCGAGCCATTGCGGTACCGTCGACGATGGAGAACCTTCTCGGTGACCGGCCGGTGCCGGACCGGTGCCTCACGACCGAGAGGCGCAGCTTGCACCTTGCGTGTGATGACGGCGAGCCTCGATCGTATGTAGAGGCCGAGACACGCGGCATGGCGCGCCGCGATGATGCGATTGGAGATGGATGCGGTTGAGAAGAAACTCGCACCGGGAGCTTCTCGACCTTCCTCGTGGTCACCGCGCGATCACCCTTAAGTGGGTGTACAAGCTGAAGAGGGATGAAGCTGGTGCCATCGTCAAGCACAAGGCTCGCTTGGTGGCACGAGGTTTCGTGCAGCAGGAGGGGGTCGACTTCGACGACGCTTTGCTCCGTGGCACGGATGGAGTCCGTCGCGACTCCTCTCCTGCGCTTAGCCGCCAGAGGGTCTGGCGTGTTCATCACATGGACGTCAAGTCGGCGTTCCTTAACGGCGACTTGAAGGAGGAGGTCTACGTGCACCAGCCGCCGGGATTTGCGATCCCCGGCAAGGAGGGCAAGGTGATCCGCCTGCGCAAGGCCCTCTATGGCTTGCGGCAGGCACCGAGGGCGTGGAATGCCAAGTTGGATTCCACGCTAAAGGGAATGGGCCTCGAGCAAAGCCCGCACGAGGCGGCCATCTACCGACGGGGCAGTGGAGGAACTGCTCTGCTGGTGGGTGTCTACGTCGACGACTTGGTGATCACCGGCACCAAGGATGCGGAGGTGGCGGCATTCAAGGAAGAGATGAAGGCCACCTTCCAGATGAGTGACCTGGGGCCTCTCTCCTACCTGGGCATCGAGGTGCACCAGAATGACTCCGGGATCACACTTCGACAGACCGCCTACGCCAAGCGCGTCGTTGAGCTAGCTGGGCTCACCGACTGCAACCCAGCTCTCACTCCGATGGAGGAGAGGCTGAAGTTGAGCCGCGACAGCACGGCGGAGGAGGTGGACGCTACGCAGTACCGGCGTCTTGTGGGGAGCCTTCGCTACCTCGCCCACACACGGCCGGACTTGGCATTCTCCGTCGGCTACGTTAGTCGGTTCATGCAGCGACCGATGACGGAGCACCAGCAGGCTGTGAAGAGGATCATCCGCTATGTTGCGGGGACTCTCGACCACGGCCTCTACTACCCGAGGTGCCCTGGGGCGGCACACTTCGTCGGCACAAATGACAATGACCACCGCCCGGCGACATCGACACTAGCAAGAGCACGAAGCGGGATCCTCTTCTTCCTCGGCAAGTGCCTCGTTAGGTGGCAATCGGTCAAGCGGCAGGTGGTGGCCTCCCTGTCCGGTGCGAGGCCGAGTACATAGCGGCCTCCACCGCTCGACTCAGCGCGCCTGGCTCGCTCGGATCGCTTGGTGATCTCCTCGGCAGAGACACTAGAGCGGTGGAGCTCTGTGGTGGACAGCAAGTCCGCTCTGCCCCGGCAAAAAACCCCGTGTTCCACAAACGCAGCAAGCACATCCGGGTGAGGTACCACTTCATCCGAGGGAAATTTGGAGGAAGGGAGCATCAAGGCGAGCTACATCAACACCAAGGACCAGCTGCGCGGACCGCTCACCAAGCCCCTTGGGAGGATCAAGTTCCTTGAGCTCTGCTCCAGGACCGGGATGGTTCAACTCTCCCACAAGACGACGCACAAGACTTAGGGGGAGAATGATGGATAAGTCTCATGTGTGGTCTTTGTGGGGCTGTACTGCTCACATGGTCCTTGTGGCTGTTTTTCTGCTTTTAGGACAGCATCTTAGACTAGAGGACAGCATGTGCATCTTAGAGGACAGCATCTTAGACTAGAGGACAACATCTTAGCTAGGACAGCATATTAGCATCTTAGACTAGCATCTTAGACTAGCATCTTGGCATATGCTTGGCTGGCTAGCAGCCTATAAATATGTAACCCCAACCCCTCAGGTTGGCATGGCATTTGAGTAAGAAATAGACAAGAAAATTGCCCCAACTCCTAGTGTCATCCTCTCTCGATAAGAGTAAGAATTCTCCTACTACCAAGAGTGAGAATTCAGCGACTAACAAGGCTCCTAGTGTCATCCTCTCTCGATGAGAGTAAGAATTCTCCTACTACTAAGAGTGAGAATTCAGCGACTAACACGTGGAACGCCAAGCTAGACAACACACTCAAGGAGATGGGCTTCCAGCAGAGCATGCATGAGGCTCCGGTGCACCCGCGGGGCAGCTGTCGCTCCGTCCTGCTGGTGGGTGTCTACATCGACGACATTGTCATCACCGACGCAGAAGCGGAGATTGAGGCGTTCAAGGCGCAGATGAAGGCCACCTTCTAGATGAGTGACCTTGGCCTCTATTTCTACCTCGGTGTCGAGGTGCGCTAGGACGACACCGGCATCACCCTCCATCAAGGACACTACGCCAAGCACATCGTGGAGTTGGGTAGCCTGGATGGATGCAATTCAGCCCACATTCTGATGGGAGGCTGAAGCTGAGCCACCACAGCACGGCGGAAGAGGTTGATTGGCGGAAGAGGTTGATGCCACATAGTACCGGCGCATTGTCGACAGCCTGCGCTACCTGGTGCACACCCGGCCGGACATGGCGTTCATCGTCGGGTACGTGAGCCGGTTCATGGAGCGGCCAACGGTGGAGCACCAGCAGGCAGTCAATAGGATCCTGCACTACGTAGAGGGCACCCTCGACTACGGTCTGCACTACACGAGGAGCCCCAACGCGACGCGCGTCGTCGGGTACTGCGACAGTGACCTCGCCGGCGACATTGACACGAGTAAGAGCACAAGCGGCACGCTTGTCTTCCTCGGCAACCGTCACGTCAGCTAGCAGTCCCTCAAGCAGCGGGTGGTGGCGCTGTCAAGCTGCAAAGCTAAGTACATTGCCACCACTTCTGCCACAACGCAGGCACTTTGGTTGGCTTGGCTACTGGGCAAACTGCTCGGCAGGGAGGCCAAAGCAGTCGAGCTCAGGGTGGACAGCAAGTCAACCCTAGCACTTGCCAAGAACCCCGTCTAACATGAAAGGAGCAAGCACATCCAGATCAAGTATCACTTCATCATAAACTCCTAGAGGACAGGAGTGTGAAGGCCAACCACATCAAGGCAGATCAACTTGTTGACATTCTCACCAAGTCTCTTGGGCGAGCAAAGTTCCAGGAGATGAGGGCGCGAATTGGGCTGATCCACATCAATTCGAAGACGACACACAAGGCATACGGGGAGAATTGAAAGGACAAGCGCGCGCGTGTGTGTGTGTTAAAGCTATTAGAGCTCTTTAGCTATTGAGTCTATTAGAGCTGATCACAGCCATTTCAACTTCTTGTGCTTTAGTTGTTAAGTTTGTTTTGCTTTTAGCTGTAAAGTACATCTTTAGCTCTTTAAGGAATCACAAGCAGCTGCAGTAACAGTGCCAGCCGAATTCCCAATTCCAAGTTGTGGTTTGTTGTCTAACAGAGATAAGTCAATGCAACCTCAAGTCAGGCATAACCCTCTTCAATTTGCTCTAGCTTAGCCACTGTTGGCAAAGGAGCATCAGCTGAATTAAGAGATCGTCTAGAACAAGCGTACCAGTATGGGGTTGAGGGCAGAATGTTAGCGAGAATCGAGAGTAGGAATGGCAGCGGGTCAGGGTCACGCCCCGTTCCCATGGGTTTTAGACCCAGCGGGTGCAGGACCAGGTCCTATTTTTTTCTAGCAGGTCCATAGGTTGAGAGACCCAAACTAGGGCAGGTGTTGGGCTGGATCTGGCTGTTGCCCCGTGAGGACCCAACTAACAACCTCAATAGCAGCGCGCCACATACAACATACCTAACCTAGCGCCCAAGCCCCCAGCGCCACCGCCGCATGCGAGACACGAGTCCACGCCAGCACCAACGCCTCCACCATCTCACCTGGCTTCTCTCCCATCCCTACTCTAGCATCCCAATGACGCGATCGTAGCTGTGGTAGTCTGGCACCAACACCACGCCACCAACACGCTACTCTGACTCCATGAGGCAACAAGTCCTGTTGTGGGAACAAGGAGGCGAGGAGCCTAACCCCAAACCTCACAGATAGGTGGCGGGGCCGCGAACTCCTATGCTGGCTCTTCCTCTCAAGCCATACGGCAGGTCACGCATCCCCGGCATGGCCGCTATCTTTACCTCTAGCAAGGAAATTCCCCCTCCAGTCCTCCACGGTCCTCCAAAGCTGAGCCATATGCCCACACTTTGTAGTAGCAAATCAGGGAGGTAGTTCACTAGTTAATGGAGTTCTAGATGAATTGTGCTACATCGTGCTGCTTTAGTGAGTTTAGTTTAGTTGTGAGACAACCAGCAACCAAAGAAATGCTCAAATGGATTTGGCATTCTTTATTCCTGATGCAATGATGTCGACCCTGGCATACTTGTGATCTCAAACTGTATTTTCACAGAAGCAGTTGCAAACGAGTTTGACATTAAGGGCCTGTTCGGGACTGCTCAACAAACTCCACCTTGGACCAGAGTTTCTAAAGCACCTCTTTAGGTGCTCTCACAACTCCACTATTTTTCCTAGAGCAGAGTTTGGGAGCTGCATCTATTTGGCTAGAAAAGGTGGAGCGGAGCAGTCCCAAACAGGCCCCTAAACAGAGATTTTTCTTTCACCTTGTAACTAGTACTACTATTGACATGTTATCCTCAGGGACTCAATTGTTGGCCAACAAATCCCATTTGTTAGTGTACCAAAGATGGCATATATTTTCCTCTGCATATTTTTACGGTGTTTCTCATGTAATTTCTGTTACATATGTTATCAGCCGTATAGCACATCTTCTGCATTTTCAGCGAAATCAACTCCTAGCAGCAGTGGATCTCAAGCGGCTAGTGCATCAAATGTAAACGCCTGAGCTACTTGTACACCGACATTAGAGCAGTCACAACCCAAAAACTATGGGATAGTTTCCTTACTTGCCATATCATGTAGACACTACACATAGAAACTATATTCCCAATGGATTATTTTTACAAAATACTTTTCAGCCAATCCACTATCTTCTCTCTCCTATCATCTACCTATCACACTCTATCTTGGTGCCCGTGTAGACAGTTTCATGTACTAGAAACCATTTCCTTCTCTCTCCACCTTAATTCCAATGTGACAGTCACCATTTTGCTTACTTGCCACCTAATTAATGCCATGGAAAGCATCCTAGTCATCCCATTGGGACTGCCCTTATTGGCTAGATAGTGAATGTGTCCTTGTGAATTGTGATTGTGGACTTGTGGTTGTGGTAAACCACTGTAAAGCATATGTGCTAGGTTGGTTCTAGACTTCTGGTTGCAAAGTAGTTGTGGTCATGTGGTGTGGTGTGGTGATTGTTAAATTGCTCTATGCCCACATGTCTTTCTTTTTATAAAGTACATGTGAAGATATATCGTCTACTACTGTCATGCTATGGTTACTCGGGTTTCAAGGGCCCGTCGGGTTCAAGGGGCCTGTCAGGTTGGGGGTGGGTGCTGATTTCCACCCAGATCGAGTCCGGAGCCAGGTCGGGTTTTCATTTCGGGTTTCAGGGCTTCACCCAGCCCCCGACCCGCCCTGTTGCCATCCCTAAGGGCCACACTACAGTGGACCCTATAAAGTCCTGTAGTGCATGGGCAAAGCGGCATCTCTCCTAGCCTTGCTGCCAAGGGCACGGGCTTAAACGTGTTCCACATAAGCATCCTGAAACCATGGCACGGGCACGCCACTAGAGTCATCTCACAACTACTTCCTCTACCAATAGCTGACATTCCAGCCACATAACATTGACCAAGTTAAACATGACAATAATGCATAAATGCATCATATTTCAAAATTGAAGTACGCAAGGAAATTTTTGCATCATTATTATGACTAACTATCCATAGTTTTAGTGTGCATTTTAAGATGTTACCTTACGATGAGAAGCTACAGTAGCTCTGTATAATGCTGTTGTGCCAGGATAAACTGCTAAAACTTGTCGACCCTGCCCAAAATCTGGGGCACTCGAAGGATCCCCCTTCTTTGGAAATGGAATAATGTAAGACATAGGCAACTTGTACTTCCTGAAAAGCATAGAAAAGGGGCACCATCAGTTCGAGCCAAACCTTAAGAATAGGGTCAATGAATACCCACAGTTTACTTAATTTCAAATAGCGTTGCTTTACATCGAACTTTTTTTTTTCTCGAACACGCAGGAGAGCTTCGTATCATTATATTAAGAAGAATAAAGGAGTGGGTTTAGAAACCCCATACAGCCACACACCTACACACACCCTTTTACATCTAATATTATACATCTCTCTCAAATTCAAACTTGACCCAAGACCACTAGAAAGGAACTCACACATTGGCTGGCTCTAGAGCAAGGAGATTGGATATTCCCCGAGCTCCAGCCAAACTCCATAGGAGAAACTCATCTTTTACTGAAACCATAACACTATTTAGGCTCGGTTGAATCCCATCAAAGACATAGTGAACTTCATACATACAGCAAAAGGACACTAAGGCCCCGTTTGGATCCTTGAATTGAAATCCATTCTAATAATCACAATTTAGACACAGATAAATTAAGTTAATATGGCCACATGGGGGAATATACTTATATACTGTTGTTGGCCATATGGGAGAGATACTTATTTGCTGCAGTTCTACTTGCCAAAAAGCGTGCTATAAGTTACATAGCAGAAATATAGCATGAGGATCTATGGAATCAATTTCTATCTCTCACCCCATGAATTTAAGACAAGCTTATATCTAAACTTTGGAAAGTGGTGGAATGTCAAATTCCAAGCCAAATAGCCTAGTCCATAAAGTAGATTCCAATTCTTCCAAAATGAAATCCAAACGAGCCATAACAGTTTTTAGTCGAACACTTTACTTGTAGTTTTCTTAATTTGGAAATAATAGCATTTGATTTAGAGAATATGATGAGAAAATAATACCATGAAACCCAATAAAGCGGAGCTGCTTCCTCTCGTTGACAAAGTGGCGAATAATCTCTCAGGATGGAAAGCTTCCCTAATGAACCGAGCAGGTTGCCTAATTTAAGTTAAGGTGGTATTCTCTACCATACCAATCTATCTGATGATTGCTACGGACTTACCAAAATGGGTTATTAAGGCAATTGACAAACGCCGGAGGGGCTTTCTTTGGAAGGACCAGAAAAAGGCTAATGGTGGTAACTGTCTGGTTGCCTGGGTCGAGTCCTTCAACCACTTGAGTACGGGGGGCTTGGCACACACAACCTTGAGATCCTTGGTTGGGCTTTACGTATTAGGTTGTCTTAGGCTGCAGAAACTGATGCATCTAGGCCATGGGCTGGTCTCCCTGTACAAGTGCCAAATATTGCCATATGATTAGAGGCGCCGAAGTCAATTACCCAATCAGTGATGGCAGGGGGGAGGGAGAGTCATGGTGCTGAAAAAAGTCACCAATGACTGCTGATCCCAAGCGCCGGCACCCTGTGGAGGCACCTGGTACAGCTGTGGATGCGGCACCGAGTACTGCGGCTGATGCGGTATCTAGTACTGTGATTGATGTGGTGATCAGAGGGGGAGAAAGCCAGGCAGTGGGGGTCTTATGCTGTGGGGAGCTGCCAAGAATGCCTGCTGGAGTGCGGGAGAGGGAGCCGACCCAAAGCGCACGCCTTGAGTGCCACACTGGTGTGGTTGATGTGGCTGCTGGGCCCCCTGTCGACAGAATATCGTCGGCAGTCCTCCGAGGAGTATCCCACGAAGGTAGATTGATCGGTAGAGATGCGTGTAATCAAGAACAAGAAGGCAACAGAGATACAAGAGTTAGACAGGTTCGGGCCGTCAGCGCGACGTAATACCCTATTCCTGTGGTCTGTTGGATTGTATTGGCGATCGTATGATATTGCGTGTGTTGTGAGGGGGTCTCTGCCCGCCTTATATAGTCTGGGGGACAGGGTTACAAGTCGGTTAGATCTAGGAGATAACCGGAAAGTAATAACAGATTACATGAATCATGGGATCGAACGTATCCTAACAGATCTCGTAGTATCTTTAGGATATCACCCTTGATGTCTTGCGGTGCACGCCAAGCAGTGCCGTGCACCGTAGGTCTTCGTCTTGTGGGCTGGACCGCCCCTGGGAGTGCAGCCCATATAGTCTGCCGTGGGTATCCGGGGTTATACCCCCCACACCCCCGGTGACATGACCAGACCACATTGTGGACAGAGCTGCACGAGCACGGGCCATGGAGGCCTCTCGTTCAAGAGCTGCAGCGGTGCAGTGCTCCTGCTCGAGGGCGGCAAGGGCAGTGCGAACGCGCTTGTGGGCGTCAGTGGCAACGTGGGAAGCAGCCACAGCAACGTCGTCTAGGGCAGCCTTCTCCATGGCGGCGGCGCTGTCACAAGCGGCGGCCGTGCGCTCTCGGGCGGCGGTCTGCTCAAGCTCGGCCTGGGCAGCAGTGGCAACAGAGGTAGAAGGTGGAGCCATGGCTGGAGGGGCAATGGCTCGCTAGAGGAGGTAGCGGAAGCAGGAAGTCACAGGATCGTGACAGTCACTTGGTGCCATGAGAGTGGATGAACATGTATTGCTTAATCCAACTGAAGATTGGTTACAAGATATATATAGAAGAGGAGACTAAACTATAGAGAATAAAGGATGGGAAGAACCGAGGCAACATGCTGGGGGGAATCCCAGGTGGCAGCTGAGAACTAAAGCAGCAGCCTGGGAGACTCCCAGGAGGCAGCCGGCCACATTAAATAGCATAGAAACTTGCTAACATTTACTGATGAAGGAAACTTGCTCTCGATTACATGCCTTTGCTTGGGGACAAGAAGAGTTTCCATGGGGCGGTAATGTCTTTTTTTCTTGAATACGCAGGAGAGCTGTGTATCTTTGTATTAAGAGAGGAAAAAACGGTCCCTTACAAAATTAACCTCCTTACCCCGGACCGAGCTGTAAGGAAACATGTAATTTTTTTGTTTTTTTTATGTGCACATATCTATTGCTGTGAACTGCGATGCTTGGCCAAATTTCCTTTTTTTTCTTTTTGAAAGGACCAGCTGGAGTTCTACCCAGCATAGAGGAGAAGAGTGAGTTTAAACATGAAATAGAAGCTCAATAAGGAGGGAAAAATCATAAAGTCAAAGAGCTCCATTAGAGGACTACTCTCTCGAGAATACCACATACCCTGATAGCTAAGTTACCACAACACTTTGACCTAAAGATCGGAGACCTTGCGCTCCCACAAAGCACCAAAGGTGAGGTTTGTCCCTGAAGGACTGGAGAAGAACACCCAAATTTGGGCTGGCTCTTTCAAAAACAACTGAGTTTCTATGTTTCCAAAGTCGCCAAGCACCCAAAACACTCACCATGTTGATGCCCTTCCTATTCTCCTTCATAGCACGCTTGATAAACTTATGCCACCAACCTGCGAAAGTTGGTTCAACACTAAGTAAACATGTCTGGAATCCCAACGGCTCCAGAACTCTGAACAAGGAGTCTCACACCCATGATGGAGAGCAAGGAGTCTAGTAGTTTGACAAGTGTGTCCACCAGCTGTGGGACCCATGTGGAAGACCAAGTCACTACATTGCCCAGCCAACAGGAGAGGGAAGAAGAGAAAAACCGAAAACCTGTCGACTCAAGCACAGAAGACGATCTTCCTCAATATCGAGATCCCCCTCCTCCAATTATCTCCTATGATTTCTCACTTCACTAGTCAGCCACAGGTGTGTGTTTAATGGGAAGTCTGCTAGTGTTGATGTTGTCCTTGGGGCAATTTCAAAGCACGCCGCTATATAGTGTCTTCAAAGCTTAGGCTGTTTGCCTTGTGGTAGTGGAAGGGCATTCCATTTCCCCATGTGTTATTTGTGTATCTTTTCGTCTTTAATGATATGATCACAGGTTTCATTCATATTCGAGGAAAAAAACTCAAAACTCAAAGTCGAATATTTGGAGAAAAATATTGGAGGTAATGTCATTAATTGTTCATATACAAGGAACTAAAAAAGGACAGATAGGAACTTAAACCTCTCATACTTTTGGGTGCTCTCTTCGTCATCACCTGGTTCTTCGTCAAGTACTTCATACCTGCACATGCATCAATATTAAATAAGTGATACTTACAGAACGATGGTCACATATAAGGCAACAGCAACAGGCACACTAAAATGTTATGGTCGCTGATACGTTGTCCAGGGGCAACTAGCACAAATTGTTTAGTAAGGAGAAACCACTAACAAAGGGTTATCACAAACATGATATAAATCTCATCAAACTATATTGCATGCCAAGCCAGTAACAGCTTGTCATTACCTCCTCTCTACATGATAAAATGCAATGCCCACTTTTCCTCTTTTTCTTATTTATTATAGTGAGATTCAGTGCTGGAGATGTCATCCCCATAGCTGTCTCAGTTTCTGCAGGGCAATTTTTAGCAATACAGCGGATACATTAAAATTTCCTATTTTCCCATCAATAATGTGGTGCCTTACCTACCCAGGATCTTGTAAGAAAGGTTAACATTACCTCCATTCAAAAGTAGTTTTTCCCTCGAGTAAACTTTTATATCACAAACAAATGTTTGCCCTAAAGATAGAAAAAAGGGAATTTGGTGTTTCTACCCTTGCTCTATAATACAATGGTGATTGTACCCCTTTTTCTTTAACTTTGTGATTTTGCCCTCGTTTTTTCCAGACAAAGGCTCCGTTTACCCCTACTTCGTAACGGTGTTAGATGTCCCTGAATTAAACGATGGAAAAAATTAAAAACCAAATCGGACCACACAAAATGACCAAACTACCCTCGTCTTATCTCTTCCCCACACTCAGTCGTTCACTCGTTCTTGCTCCCAGACTGTTCCCAAACTGTGAAACCCTAGCAATATTTGGAGGCGGCGGCGGTGTGATTTGGAGGCCGGGTGCGCGCAGGACTCGCGAGCGGGAGGACACACGCGAGCGGTAGCCGAGCGCGGCAGCCGGATGCGTGCGGGAGGCAGCCGGGGGGGTGGCTGGGGACTTGCGGGCGTCACCGGCGGCCAGATGTGCGCGAGCGGGAGGCGGGCAGCCTTTAGCCGGCGTGGCTGAGGGGCGGGCGGGCGGTGGCGAGGGTGACGCGCAGGCGGCAGCACAGTCTGGCACAATGGCGCTCGCTTTCTCTAGCACGAGCATCACAGGTGTGCTCTGCTCCTCTCATTGAAGCTCCCGCAGAGCACGCTGACGTCCGTGGCCATGGGCATGAGCCGACTGCTGCATCTGGAGCGCAGGCTTTTGCACCAAGCGCATTGTCGCTACTGCTTGGATTCGATTGGTGCTGGAGTTTGATCACTCTGAATCTGCTGCTAACGTTGTGCCATGTATTTCTCTTTTGGGGCGTGGAGTTTGCAAATTAAATAATACAGTAATGTATATGAGCATATAATATAATGGTTGTGATGTTACTGGAAAAATAAATTGTTTGTCGGACATTTTTATTTTACAAATTTAGAAAAGTCAAACCGGAATCAAATTTGAAATAACTGCAAATTGTGCCAAATATATTTGACCAAATCTATTAAATTTTGTCAAAATACAATATAGTTGTCTTATTCTAAAATGGGGTAAGATAGGGTTAAAAACACAAATATCAAAATAAAACAGGGGTAAAAACGCTTGGGCAAAGTTCTCATTTGGTCCAAAAGTTAACACCGTTAGAGGGACTTTACAGAGCAGGGGTAAACTATGCCTTCGTTTTGAAATCGCAGGGGTAAAATCACAAAGTTAAAAAAAACGAGGGCAAAATCACCATTTCGCTTTAAAACAGGGGTAGAAATGCTTAGAAAAAAATAAAATAGATACATACTCTTTTGTTTCCTTATCGAAATGTATGACCTTCACGACAAACCACTCATCTTTTTCATCATCTGATTTTACCCTAGCAGCAACCTGAAATGGCAGAGATGAAAGTAAGTTGTAACTATTAAATAATTAAACAAATATACATAAAGCATGCATGTGCACCAACAGAAGGAAAGAGCTAAAGCCATGTACTAGGCATTGCATTGCTAGAGCTCAAAATCTGAGTAACCAAACTTAATCATTGTCCTATAATATGATGTTTATAATTAGTTTTAACTTGAGACTGCCTGATAGTCTGATTAATTGTATAAATGTCAAATCAATGATAAGGAGATTTTATGACGTAATAATATCCATAGCAAACATATTATCTACAAACCATGTTCCAGACAGTCAGTTTGATTTAATAATTAATAATATTGCAATGTATAATTTATATTGTGCAATAGGGCTACCTTAGTTGCTTTAGAGTCAATCTACCCTATTATCACTTAATGGGATGTTTTACGATGAGAGTATCACAAAAATTTCATAAGGAAATAACACCAAGCTGAATTCTTATATATATATAACAATAACAAAGTAGGCTAAGTTGAATATTTATACAAGTATTTTTCTTGAAGTACACTAATGACTTGTTTCCTGCAACACAAATTCAGTGTCAACCAAAACCAAGTTATAGTTTAAAACAAACAAAAGTTCTTGTTTGGACTATTTGTCATGTGGGGAGAGCAGTTTAGCCGCAGAGCTAAGAAGGCAGGAACAGCTGGCCAGGAAAGTGGCTAATTTGTTGTTAATTAGAGGCGCACCATTAGCTGGTGCTAATTTAGAAACATATTAATGAGTGATTGAGAGAGAGATTAGAAGTGATTGGCAGCCTAGTGCCTATATGTAAGCCGAATGGCTCCTGGTGAAGGATTAAGCAAGAAGAATATTCCTATCTCCTAATCTACCTTCCTCGTCTTAATCCCATTACCTTCAACAATAAGGCGCCTAGGGGTAAAACCTCGCTCCAACCTCACGGATCGAGGCTACGAACTACGTAGCCGAGGTCTAACTACCCTAGACCTTGACGCCCTTGACAACCTGGTATCACGATTCAGGACTTCCTCACCTCAGCACTCCACCTCGCCATCACTGCCACCTCACCCTGCTTCTTCCCCGCCCACTCCGCAACGCGCGACCACCATGGGTGACAACAGCGCCTAGGATGCCGCCCTCCAGGCCACACTCGACTCCCTCAACGCGACGATCAAGTTGCTGCAGGCCGCCGTCGAGACGAACCCCGAGGCAATCCAGCGCCTGGATGCATCACGACTTGCTCCAACGACGTCCTCGGCGTCAATTCCGCCTCGGGGGAGCACCATCAAGACCGGTACCCGTGGTTCCGGAAGCTGGATTTCCCGTGGTTCGACGGCATGTCCGACCCCCTCGTCTTCATCAATCGTTGCGAGTCATACTTTTACCCGCGGAGGGTCACGGAGGAAGAGAAGGTGTGGATGGCCTCGTACAACCTCGAAGACAGGGCGCAAATGCGGTACATCCAAATCCAGCAGGACGAGGGCACTTCGTCGTGGTTGCGCTTCACCGAGCTCCTCCACCTGCGCTACGGTCCACCCCTGTGCTCAAACCCTCTCGGTGAACTAACGCCATGCAAGTGCTCCGACTCCGTCGTCGAGTACTAGGATCCCTTCGAGGCGGTCCTACCACGCGCCGAGCGGCTCACGGAGGCCCAAAAGGTCCAGCTCTTCACCGTCGGGCTCCAGCCACCGCTCAGCCTCGACGCCGAGGTGCACAACCCCCATTCCCAGGCCGCCGCCATGAGTCTGGCTCGCAAACTGGAGTTGTAGGACCACTGCGCGGTCGCCAACGCTCCGATGCTGCACCAGCCAGCCTGTGCTCCGGTGCGCGCCCTCCTTCCGGCGCCTCAACCGCAGCTCTCCCTGCCGGCCCCGAACCCCGCCACACCAACGACGATCATCGTGGAAGGCCGCCCGGTCCAGCACCTGTCCCAGGCCTGTCCCAGATGGAGGAACGACGCCGCCTCGAACTCTGTTATAACTGTAACGAGAAGTTCGGGCACGGACATAACAAGGTCTGCCAACGTCTCTTCTTGTTGGACAGCGTGGCAGATGAGGAGGAGCCGGCGGTCGACGGCACTAAGGCAGACACGAACCCGCACATTTCCCTCCACGCCATCGCCAGGGTCCGCACCAGCGAGACGATGCAGATCCGCCTCCAGATCGGCGACACCACCTTTCTAGCGCTGCTCGACTCCGGCTCCACCTATAATCTCATCTTAGAAGCGGTCACGGCCAGCACGTCTCTGCCCCTGCAGCACCACGGCCGCGTGAAGGTGACAAGTGGCCAACGGGGAGCGCGTTCCCTGCCTGGGGATGCTCCGTCAGGCCGACTTCTCCGTCGACAACGAGAGCTTCATTGCCAACCTTTTCATCCTCCCCCTGGCCGGCTACGACATCGTCCTCGGCACCCGGTGGCTCGTCTCGCTAGGCCCAATCCTATGGGATTTCGGCTAGTGCGCCACGTCCTCCTGGCACTGCAATCGTCCCAGAAGGACGAACTAGAGCGGCAGTGTGCCGCCATACTGGAGCAGGGCCTGATCTGCCGCAGCTCCTCCGCATTCTCATCGCAAGCGATCCAGAAGCGCGCGTACGACCAGCTCCATCACTCCGTCGCCTATGCTGTGGGTGCACCGGCCTCTCTGCCCAGGCCACAAAAGGGAAACTCATGCCCCGCTCCTATCACCCGTACCGCATCGCCGAGCTGATCAGCGACATCGCTGTTCACCTGGGGTTTCCTCCGCGCGCTCACCTACATGATGTGTTCCATGTGGGGCTTCTCAAGAAGTTCATCAGCACGCCGCCAGATGCCCCGCCACCTCTACCGGTCATCCACCATGGAGCGGTTATTCCATAACCTGAGCGGGCAGTGCACACCCGCTTCGCCCGTGGCGTGCAGCACGTGCTCATCTAGTGGAAAGGGGAAGCAACAGCCTTGGCAACCTGGGAAGACATCGACTCCTTCATCGAGCGTCATCCAAATTTCCAGCTCGAGGACGAGCTGCTCGATGATGGGGGGAAAGATGTCATGTGGGGAGAGCAGTTTAGCCGCAAAGCTAAGAAGGCAGGAACAGCTGGACAGGAAAGTGGCTAATTTGCTGTTAATTAGAGGCGCACCATTAGCTGGGGCTAAGAAACATATTAATGAGTGATTGAGAGAGAGATTAGAGAAGTGATTGGCAGCCTAGTGCCTATATGTAAGCCGAATGGCTCCTGGTGAAGGATTAAGCAAGAACAATATTCCTATCTCCTAATCTACCTTCCACGTCTTAATCTCATCCCCTTCAACAATAGGGTGGCGAGGGGTAAAACCTCGGCCCAACCTCTTTTTCTCAAACACGCAGGAGAGCTGCGTATCATTATATTAAGAAAAATGGGCAACACAACCACAAACAAACATAAACACCAACACCAACACACACTACACTCGCCACTCTAATATATTTTGTGATTACAAGCGCGCCTGTTAGAACTGAGACAAGCGACCGACACCCCCAGACACCAACCTACTACTCTTCATGAGCCGGACCAGTCAAAGAAGAGAGGCTCCACGCGCCTGCTATCTCCCAAAGACGCCGTTCATCACTAGTGACGCTGAGGGCTCTTGACATACTAGGAGTCGCTCCACCTCACGGATCAAGGCTACGAACTACGTAGCCGAGGTCCAACTACCCTAGACCACGACGCCCTTGACACTATTGGAGATAATACAACAAAATTTGATCAATTTAAACATGGATTTCGATATATTAAAGATCTTATCACAAAGATGGATTGCAATGTGCATATTTATATGATCAAACTACACTTTCTTATAAGCAAAAATTTATCAAGGTTTACAATTTTTCCTTTGGATTTTTGTAGGATATAAACTAGGCCTAGCAAACAGAGTTGCTGAAATATAATCCAAGTCTAATAAGCTTCGATAATTCTAGTTAAGTGATAAAAATTTACTTAAAGTAGCAATTTAGATCCCATTAAATGTCAGTGATTACAAGCCTCATAAGCTTCGATAACTCTAGCTAACCGATAAGAAACCTGTCTCTAGAAACCATTTCTAGAAAGGCAAAAAGTAATTCTCATTCAAATAAAGAGAATGGAAGAATTGGTGGACCTCCCATTTTCAAGGCAAGCCTCAGCAAATCACATGTAATACCATCCTAATATATTAGTTTTCTGTACTCCAGAAGTCAAAATTGTGTCATTCTAACAATATCCAAATTCAAACACTTACAAACGCATGGTTTTTTTTTCTCTCTAACAAGCAGGAGAGTTGCATATCATTATATTAAGAAAAAAGGGGGAGAGCCCTTACAAACACACACACCCACATGACAAAACCAAGTTATCAAAAACCAGACCCGCATGTGACAAAGATCAAATAACCCCGATCAAAGCAACCACACTACACCAGCTAAAGGGCGATAAGGTAGGAGATACCTCGAGCCCCGGCCAAACCCCAAAAAAATAACTCCTTGCTAATGAGTGGTAAGGCTATGCCAAGCTTGGAGAAGCACCATCAACCACATTTATTACGATGAATCCACAGGTCCAAGCGCCAATGATAGCAAGGGAATTGAGACCTTTCTATAATTGATGCCCAGCCTGCAAATTGATTCTTGCACACCAATCATCAAAGAACTTGTTAAGTATATGAAGGCCCATCTAATAGGCCCATATGGCCCATGAGGCTCCTATATATAGTAATCTCCACTAATGGAATGATTAGACTCTCAAATCCCAAGGTTAGTGACACTCCTCACTGATCTGCGGGGAAAATAACTGCAGGCTGACTCTTTGTACAAGTTTGAACCAGAAATCTCTTGCAAAAACACAAGACAAGAGCGAGTGGTTGATAGATTCTTCAGCTTGATCACAGTGAGATCTTCAGGATGAGGAAGCCCTCTTCTTGACAAACAGTCTTCTGTCCAACACCAGTCATGAGCTACCAACCACAAGAAGAATTTACATATTCCTGGAGCCCAGGTTCTCTTTTTTTCTCAAACACGCAGGAGGGCTGCGTATCATTATATTATAGAAGATAAAAGACAGGAAAAGAACCCGAGTTACACTTGGTTTAAAAGGTTAAAGACTCGCCAGTGCTAAAAGAATGGAGCCCAAGTTCTCCAAATTCTAGAGACCAAAACTAAGTCATTCCCTGGAAGAGGTTTTTGTAAGCCGACTTTGCCAAATATTGGCCACTTGAAGATAAATCCCAAATACGAGAATCTTCGACACCAGGCTGCAGGATGACATCCCTAACAAGATCCCAAAGAGATAGAAATTCTAAGATGACTCCCACAATTAGAGCGCCTTGGATATCAAGACCCACAAATTATTTGAGAGGGTCTGCTGTACAGTCCTGCTAGCTCTCCTGAACGCGTTGTTGCCATTATGGATGTTTTGAGGAAGGGACATGCAAAATCAGTGCCTCCAACAAATTGCAGCAAGTCCTACAGTACTACTCCGTCTATCCTGAAATATAAGGCATTGAAGCATTTACAATTAATCCCAAATTATAAGGGATTCTAGGTTAATTAATTTCCCTAGGCGCCCAATCACATGCCTACCTATAGAACCCAACACAATGTTGATTGTCAACCGAACCACCAAGCTCAAAATATGGTAAGCTAAATATCTCTCCGCAATTAAGGGAGGGGGCTTTACGTGCATAATTGCTTTACCCCATAACATGTTCTAGAAATCCTAGGATAATTATATTTCAAGATGGAGTACTTGAACACACAGGGAAGTTCCTATCTTTTCCTACATGGAAGGTAGAAGCTTGCCTAGTAAAGCATGCACTGATGAATACAAGAAATATAAAAACTAACTGATGTTATTAAATAAAGCTGAAGTTGAAACCTGCTCTCCTTTCAGGCTTGCAGCTTGGTCAAGTTGATTCCTCATAGATGCAGCAGAAAATCGTGCAGAATCTGTATCAGACTTGATCCTCTTCTTTTTCTGCTCACCAACTTCTGAAATATAGAAAGCAATTATGGTACTGCATGCTCTGAGTTAAAAAGCATGATCCTAGCTTGCAAAATCTTGGTTCTAAATTCCAATACTCACCTATCTTTTTCTTTTGTGCAGTTGACGCTCCAGATTGCAACAAACCATCTAGTAATCCAATCAAAGCGTTTGAGGCACTGCAAGAAGGCATAATTGTGAAATTTTTCCACTGCTGCACCAGACTCTTCAAAGTTCGAACTGTTAAAATTTGCATGCAGCAATAGCAAAAATGGAAGCACAAAGAGCGATGTCCAATTGATATATTAGTTCCCAAAATTCAAAGCAAATATTAGAGTGACTGCATTGGAATATTTACTGTAGTCAAATCCTATTGACATTCGAGATAGGTGAGAGAGGTCTCAGTTGTTAGGAAAAAGCATCTTAGATATATTCCAATGCCCAAAGAGCTAGATATGAAGATGTACAAAGTGCAGATAGCACCCTACACTAGTGACTAAATACATACACAGTTATACATATAACACCTCCCCTCATACTCCTGGTGGGTCAACAACACTTTGTTTGGGGAGCAAATAGCCATGTTACGCCCTAGTTTGCGCCTTCATGAAAATATAAGCTAACTGAACCTCAGAAGGCACATGGTGGAGAGTCACAATATGATCATGCACTTATGAGCCGATCATGTGGTTGCTGGCGCCCGAGTCCAGGTACCACCTCTGCTCCACGCCACCGCCCACTCGTCCGAGGTGGACTTGGGCGCGCGACTCATCAAGGAAGATGCCCTGCGTCGCCTTCCCCTGCTCTGCAACCGCTATCTCCTTCCTCGCCTCCGGCTCTAGCTCAACGACGTGAAGTGCGCAGAACACAGCCATCAGAAGGGTAGGCTCCTCGCTGTCCACCTGCGCGAGATGCGCCTCCTTCTTGGGATTCTTGCAATTCGAGGCCCAATGGCCAGTCTTCCCACACCGCCGACAAGTATCCATGTGGAGAGGCACACCGTCCTTCTTCTTCTTCTGCGGGGCCTTGCCGCAACGCTTGCCATCACCGCCGCGGCTGGAGGAGCCTTCCCCAGACCACTTCTCCCGCATCCGGGCCGTCCACTCCTCGGTCATCAACAGCTTGCCGCCGGCCACTGTCATTGCCATCTCCACGCACTCGTCCACCGCCCTCAAATGCCCTATCACATCCTCGAGCGTGAGGGTGGATAGGTCGATCAGCATTTCCATAGAGAGCGCGATCTGTGTGTACTTGGGCGGCACCACGGGCAGGTACTTGGCGACGGCCTTCTCGTCAGTGATGGCGACTGCCAGCACCACCAGTTGGCTGACGAGCAACTGCAAACAGAGCGAGAAGTCCTCCACTGCCTCGTTGTCGCGTAACGCCAGCACCTCGTACTCCAGCCACAGCTGTTGCGCCTTCAACTTCTTTGCGCGGTCAGACCCGACCCCCATAGCCTTGAGGGCGTCCCAGGCAGCCTTGGTAGAGTGCCTAGCGACTCCACGTACTCATGAGGCACGGCGGAGAGGATCGCGTCCATGGCTGAACATAGTCCTCATCCTCGGTGCCTTCCTTGACGGCCTTCTAGAGCTTCCACGCCCAAAGCTTGACCTTCATCAGCACCGCCCACCCGCCGTAGTTTGTGCGGGTGAGGACCGGCCAATTGGCCCCGCTAACCTCCCACACGGTCCTCTGCACGATGACCTCCTGCTCCACCACACTGCGTCGCCGATGCAACGTCCTCGCATGCCATCGCCGGCGATCAGCGTCAGTGGCAACCTAGCTCCGATACCACTTGTTGGCCCTCGATCTCTCTGCATAGGTGAGCAGCTAACTCACCAACACTCACACAAACTCACACAGCTAGAGGTTGAAGAAGGGGTTGAGCACAGCGCACACACGCACCAGCTCAAATGTGGCAACTGAACTGTTTCCATTGCCTTTGCTCCAGTAAGTATACAAGTGCTAGTACCTCTACCAGGTACAATAAGGTATGGTGAGTACACCAACTCCTAGTACTATGACTACATGGCTTAGCTCAGCCCCAACTACTCTACATGGCTGATGTAAGCCACTACAGCTATGACCTATTGCCATACTGCTACAGCGACTAAAGACGACAGCAAGAGATGACCAGCTGCTAATCCTAATCTGCAGCAATCAAACAAGAGGGAGTAGCGAATTATCTTCCAGGGAGCGGGGGGGCACGCGCAGCCGGCGGAGGCAGCGGACGCGGTTAGAACCTGCGCGCCGTTGAAGGCGGGGAAAGGGAAGGAAGGGGAGTAGGGGAAATGGAGTTGCTTGCCGCCGTTGAGGATCGGGTCTAACCCCAGAGCTTCGATACCATGTTAGGAAAAGCAACTTAGATGTATTCCATTGCCCAAACGGCTAGATATGAAAATGTACAAAGTGCAGACAGCACCCTACACTAGTGACTAAATACATACACAGTAGATACATCTACTACCAAGTATCATGGTTAGTGGGCATTTTGGTCCTGTTTGTTCCAGCTACAGATTGTTGATTCTAGCTTTTATAATCCCTAGGCCCGAACTAAAACAAACAGTTAGCTTTCGATCTAAGCTGCGTTAAAGCAGCCTTCAGACAACAATCCAGCCCCACAAGAATCCGGGTAGGGCATGTTTGTTTCAGCTTTTGGACCCTCAGCTTCACAATCCAACTTTTCACAAAATGTCCCACCAGTTGTTTTTCAGCTAGCTAAAACAAACAGGACGTTAGGATATCTTATTGACTTGACTAAGAAGGCCAATTAAAAATCAGTAACATGGGCACAGAGACTGATACAAATGCCATTTTCATACAACACAGAAGTTGGTTTTCCAAGAGTATTCAGAATTCAAGGTTCAATCACACATGTACCTTTTGTCTTGATTAGTACCTTAACACATTGTATGAACTGTATATCCTAATCTCAAAAATCCACTAAGTTAACAGGTAAAAAATAATAACAAAATTTAACAGATGATCTATACTAGAATAGTTCAGAATTAGTCATGAGGAGAAACTAGTGCTAAAGGAATATGTGTATCTGATTTCTTTTCTTTGCTTTTTTTGCCACATCGATGCATATCATGTTGTCAGCTCATGTAGTCATGTTTGATAAGAACAGACACGCGTTTGACTCATTCAGGAGTCCTATCGGCAGAGGGAGAGAAGCAGCTAATAGACATCAGACTATCAGAGAGACTTTGGGAGAGAAGGGGCATGATGGCAAAAGGCAGATGAGCATGATGATTGGCCTGGGAGCGTGTGTAGCAGTAGAGAGAGAGAGAGAGGGTCTTCTGACCACTGTTTTTTACTCCACTTCTGAGCTAGTGTGCCTTCCTATGCACTAAACCTGTGCTAGTGTGGCTTTTGTTGCCACCGGTGAGTCTTCCCCTCGAGTACAACACTTAGTGGATCTTCTAAGTATAGGCTTTTTTTTATGATTGAAAGCCAAAAAAAAACTATTTCACAATTACAATATATATGCTAGACGAATCCCTGAATCCTTATTTTCTGAACTTGCTGAATCTGACACCCACGGCCATGTCAGACTCTAACTTGCACACCCATTTCACAACACACAGGGTGAAGCAGATTTATCCAAAGATAAAATTATATTTTTAATCAAATGGCATAAACCAAATTACTTTGAAGAGATGAATATTCTACAACATTCTTAGTAAGGAAAATAGATTTCAACTGTGAATCCCAATGTCTCAATTCAACATAATGGTATTTTAACAAGAAAACTGTCAGCAATAATTTTTGGAAGAAAAAACAGCTTAGAAGACAAATTGATACTTTCTGATTTATCATAGTATTGTCCTTCCAGACAACCAGGGGCTAGGACTTTATGATATATTTACCTGATTTCATTCTCAGAGAGCTCCTTTGCACGTGCATATAAACCACGAAGCTTAAGCAAAATGGCATCAACTGATTTATCAACCATATCTGGGGCTATAAAACAAGGTAAAGTTGAGCAATGTTAATAGTTCCACAACAACAACAACAACAACAACAATGTGTATCAACTAGTAACGAAAAAGAATAGGTCAAGAGAACGGAAACTGTCCTGTTTTATTGCTGCCAAATGACAAGTAAGTTTGCTATAGTTTTGACAACTAACTGAAACCTTACATTGGGATTATATTAGTTAGTTGTGCATTAGGAAAAAAAAAACTGTAGACAACCAGTTTGAAGTAATGTTTGGCCCATCAATACCAGCTTTGACTTGAACCATACATATTTGGATCAGTATGGTTTAACAGGACTTCTACCATGGTGTGCAGGTCCATGGGACAGTGGACCTCACAGGGTACTGCACACACAAAGCTCCAACCAAATACAAGATTCTTTCAAACCTCATGTATGCAATATGTACAACGATCTGACGAAAAAAAAACAAGACTCATTGTGGTGTTCCATATTTATTTCGAACGTAAATGTTTTCTCAAATATTTGTAATGTAAATGTCATTTCTCAGTGTTCACTACTAGTCCAACCAACACAATGGTGTTAGCAACCGAAAGGTTTACATCACAACTATTAACTGAACCAAAAGTAATAAATCATTCTAACTATGGGAATAATGTTTCACATTTTTTTCTCGAACACGCAGGAGTGCTGCGTATCATTATATGAAGAAGAATAAGGAGTCTAGGTGACTCAAACAACCCCTTAGAAGGGCATGACCGGTACAGCAGAAAAAAACACACAAAAAAAACCAAAAACTAAGTAATACCAAGGACCGACAAAACAGTCATGGCCATAAGCTACGGAGCCCTTTGGCTCCCGCCATACAACACAACTTGGCCTCATCTCTAATATCCTGCATGATGGAACTAAAATTGGGATGAGATCCCTCAAAGACAACAATTTCTATGCTTCGAAATCCACCATGCCACCAGGACGACCAAATAGATGGTATTCTGACTATTGACATATCTGACCATCACAAAGTAGCAAATCTTGAACTCAACAAGCTCAGATAAATACCACCATTTCATTGAGATTCCACCAAAACAGAAATATCAAACAACCATCTCTAATAAAGATTGTTAGGAGTATAGATATGTTTGGCTAGAGATATCTGAAGTTGTGTACAAACTATAGAGATAAAGACAGAATCCTAGAGATGTAATAGGTTTAAACCTAGTACAAGTATTGTAATCCAAGTGAACTTGAGTCCTACTCGGTCATATACCAAAGTCCTATTTGTAGTCAAGACATGTATCAATTGTGCCGACCATATAATAATCATAGGGAGCAACTTAAGGGCTTAAGTCGTTCCAAACTTCCTATTATCTTTTACAAAGTATCTAGAGCCACCAACCAACGTCATTGATCCATAGATTAGATTAGGTTTTCTCAATATCCAAATTCCCATGCTATTAGATTAAAACCCTAACCTTATTTCTCTTCGTGGTGGCCAAAGACAACAACAACACGTTACCCATTTCCGACGGTGCGCCTACAAAAGAGGATCTCAGCAAAAGTGGACGATAGCAACAACCTCATCTTCATCCGACTGTCCTCATGTGGTGTCCATGCTAATGTCGGCAACCGCTAGTTAAGCCAACCTCCATGAGAAGATCAGCTTTGTTGGTGCACCGTTGCACGATGTGTTTGTTAGTTCGAGAGTGCCATGGTGTTGGATCATGTCCTCACAAACTACCTCCTCGAGCCCCTATACGCCATTGTCGCAACCTACAAGACCAGCTGCTTCCACTACATGGGCCATGCCGAAGCATGGCACTGCTCCAGCTTCCACACCATCATCCAATATAACAGTTAGCTCATCGATATGCTCCAAGATTGTAAAGCATGTGTACATCAAGCGCTTGCGTACCTACATGCATGGACGTCATTTAGAACTAAGATCAAACAGACCAGGCACATAGATCTATGCTCATGTACGCATGCATGGGCATAATCATATCTCTCTACAAGTACCGCTACTTCATCCACCACCATCAGCTCTACGATTACATCAGCAAGACATATGTCAGCACTCATCACCGATGATCTTTGTCAGTGTGGTCTTCATCAACACACCACCTCCATGTTGTCCACAAAATGGACATCCCCTAACAATGTCTACAATACGACAGTAGGACTACGTCGTCTACAAGATTACAATAGCATGACTGCATCAACACAATTTCCTCTAACACATGCAAGACTATGATGTGTCCTTGATATATGTAACACACTGCACATTTGCAAGAATGATGTCCTCTGGCATATGCAAGACACTCCAAATCAGATATGTCAAACGCTACCAATGGCATCCTCTGACATAAGCAAGATGCCTCTTCTACGAACTACAGCTCTATCTACAATATTGCTCAGCATCCTCTAACATATGCAAGACTATGATGTCCTCTAACATATGCAAGATGCCCCCGATGGTATCCTCTGACATATGCAAGATGCCTTTTCTATGAACTACAGCTCTATCTACAATATATCTCAAATTTTTTGTGCCTTCGGCAATGAGCGGCTACATCGACCATGACTACATCGAAGACAACTACTAGATCATCATGATCAGTTACCTCGATCGTGTCTACAGCAAATCAGTGGTAACAATTCGAGTCAAAGCATTTGTGTCATCACTATTGTTAGGAAGATGATGGTGGTGAGGCATAGGGGCAAAGGGGTGGCCGCTCCAAGCCCCTAGAAGGAAGGACACCTCCCAGGTACATAATACATAATATTAGCACTTGCCATATGGATTAGTCCACCACCAAGACGTATAGCCAATTGACATCGCCTAAGCCGCACTACATGAATCAAGTCGCGACGACTTGCCTTACCAAGGCTTCGATTGTGCTTGGACTCGCTGATTGCCAGCCATCTTCATAAGCAAGCGACTCAGTGACAGCAGGACCTAGTACAACTTATATCATACCCCAAGTGGACCTATAGTCCTACTTGGTCATGTACCAAAGTCCTATTTGGGGTCAACACATGTACCAATTGTGCCCAATATGTTATGTGGGGAAAGCCATATCAGCGTAGAGGCGAGAAAGGCAAGTAGCTAGCTTATTAGCAATAGAGGCCAGGAAGGTATTGGGTCTAATAGAGGGGAACTAGCCCCTGACTAGTACTTGCTTGTATTGGCTGGTGTCCTTGTAAACCAAGCTGATGTACTCAGTGGGGAGCAAGAAATGAAATAGTCTTCTCCTACCTCTCCCTCTCTCCTGCCTAATCCTTCTCTTCCACCATAGAGTGCAGGGGTGTCAAACCTCGGCCTGAAACAGACCACGACTATCACCTAAGGAGTCCTGGTCCTCCACCCCCTAGGCCCTAGCCATAACAGAATATATAATAAACATAGGCAGTAGCCTAAGGGCTTAAGCCGTTCCAATTATTTTCTGCAAAAATAACACAATGCTTAGGCAATCCTTTGGTGGGGAAAAGGAGGTCATAATAAAAGTATCTAAACAGACCTATAGGAAAAGAAACCAAATTGGCGACTTTCTATTGTGCTCCAATTCTGGTCGAGTTCTCATTGTCCGGCAAAACAGAATGTAAGTATGGAAGGTTAGGTTTAGGGTTCAGAACTCGTTTACAGGAACAGATCTCCCTGTGCATGATGTTGATCTTGGCGATCATAACCTCCTGCACTTTCCACAAGACCACAACTGATCCAGATTGTTGAGCTTCTCCCACAGAACCCCAATCCCCCAACCTCTGCAAGCGGCATCTCCAATTCTCCTTACCCTGGGAACGTAAACCAGAACTCAATTGGAAATCTAGGGCAGATCCAATGGGCAAAGCTTTGGAAACTCTAAGGGAGATGGCTTTCAATAGCAGGTTATTTAGATGAGAATAAATGAATACTACGTTTCTAAATGCTGGGTTCAGGTGCGCGGTTTCCATTGTTGGTTATAAGGGCAATGGGTCAATTTGCCTGTCTTAGCCTTCTTCAATTATGCCACTTGTAGACGATCAGTTATGCTATGTGGGACCAATGTGAATTTTACAACTTACGTACCAACATAATCTTGAAAACTACAGGATCAAGTAAACAAAGAGAATCACTATATATTCTGTTTACAACAAAATTATTCTGTTTACAACAAAATTATTAGACTTTTTAAAAATTAATAATAGATTAAGGCATCATACCAAATTAGAAGCTTTCTCAAAACAATAGATCAATATTTGGCAATTAGAAATCTTCAATTCTTGCATCCCTAATAAGCAGGTAAGTTCAAACTCAAACAATAACCAGACCTCTCCCACAGCACCTTTCACCACACCACAGCACACATGTCACCAATTCAACCGCAGCCTATCCTAAGAAATAATGTACAGAGGCAGCAAAAAAGTTATGTGTGGCTTGACCTCCTTAAGTCAACAAGCAACTGGAAACACACAAGTCTGTTCCTTCTTAAATGGATACCTAATTTTATTTTTTAGAAAAGGGTAAAAGCATTTATTTTCCATCAACGTAATCATAGAACTACATGTCAAGGTGGCCAGTTCAAACAAAATAACAATTCCCAGCATCACGCACATGCAACCACTATAAGTACTCTTTTCTTTTTTCAATGAACCACTACAAGCAATCAGAAGTGAAAAAAAGCAGATTGTGTGGCATAATAAGCAGGTTCTGATTGCTTAATCTGGAGGAAAGTATAAAAGGAAAAAAGTAGCATAACAGAAAACAGGCAGGTTTGAAACATATAATATCACACCCCCTTCATACATAAGAAGCATCTCTTTCAGTGTGTGTTTGATTCGTCGCCTGGCTGATGGTTAACTACAGTTGTAGTGTTTTCTACGATGAGGTCAAAGGTCAAGGTGAGCGAGCATCAACTAAGACAGTATGGGGCTGTTTGGTTCTGACCCTGGCGCAGGTGCCCGAGCCAGGCAGCTCCCCAGGCCGTTGATTTTGAGCGCCTGGTGGTCAGATGGACCTGCCTGGGCGAGCACCCCCAGGCCACCCTGGGGACCAAACAGCCCCTATATGTACTTGCCTAATTCAATTAACATAAAATGGAATATTCTAAAGATTCCTAATCCACCACCCTCCCAAAAAAAAATTCTCGAAAACGCAGGATAGCTGCGCATCATTATATTAAGAAGATGAAAAAGGGACAAGTGCCCATACAACACAAAAACTCAAAAAAAAAACACTCTCTGCTGCTGCCCTTAGGAATACTCGTGCCTGCAAAAGAAACTACAGACGACCAATCGACCATAAGACAGGGCGCTAACCACCCGGAGCAATGGCAGCTAGGAGGGATAAACCTCGAGCCCCTGCCAACGACCATGCCTTTCCCTCATCTTCAGCTACAGCCAGTGCGCCTGCAATATTTGGGGCTGCGCCATCAAAAACGCACTTGTTGCGGTGTGTCCATAAAGTCCAGGCTCCAAGGATAATGAGGGAGTTGATTCAGTATCTCTACCGACCTACATGGCACTTTAATTTGGTTCTATCACACATGTCAAAAAAAACTAACATCATCTTTATTTTCGCCTACATGGCACATTAATTTGGTTCTATTTGCATTTATGTTTTGCCACATGGCTCACAAGCAAGCCGAGTGGCTTTCGAATCAACAAAAGTACAAAAAAATAAAATGGATGACTAATACTGAAAGACAAAAGACCTCTTTACAGTGTCCTGGAGTGAGGAAAACCACCCTTACGCCAATGCACAAACCTACGAGTTCTTCAATCAACACGCAATCCAGGAGCTACACACATAGGTGCATACACTCCAACAACATTCCCTAACAAGCTTTTCCAGTGGACATTCCGGGAAAAGTAATGTAATTAAGCACAGCAAGAGCTAGAATTCCTTCTCGACCGCCCTAAACTGACAATGGAGCTACCAAACTCATTGGGTAATTAGCCTACGAATCCAGGCAGCAGATCAAACAACGAACGAATAAGTCAGCGCTGAGAGGCGGAACAAGAACCCGGGGCGGCGGTTAACAGCAGCTCGAGAGTAGCTTACATGCGAGGACCTTCTTGTGAATCTTGTTGATCTCGACAACGATGTCGTCCTGGTCCTTCTTCAGCTGGTCCAGCTCCTTGGCCTTCTCCAGCAGGCTGGCGATGTCCGCTCCTCCGACGCCCGCGCTGCCGCCCCCAACCGACGACAACATATCCGGCAGCCCCTCCGACAATTCCGCGAACGATCCAACTCGGGAGGGGCAGAGAGAGGGGGATGGCGGGCGGAGGTAGGAATCCCGTAGGTGGGCAGCTCGGGGGCCTGGTGGACTCGTGCAGGCGTGCAGGTGCGGACTGCGGCAGGCCGGAGAAGAGGGAGATTAGGTAATTTGGTAAATTTGGTAAATTAGAGCATCTTCAATAGTTCCAAAAACAATATGTATAATAAATCAATGAGTTTTCCAGGTGGCTAAAAATTGTTGGGAGCTTATTTGCTGGGTTCCTGCAAATGTTTTTAAAATCTCATTCTAAAATATAGAAGATAATTTCGCATCCATTTCTATATTTTCTTTATATCTTGTTCATTTGCATTAGCAGCTCTATCCTGCTCTTTATTCTTTCAACGTTCTTCCACCTCAAGGTTGGCGGATCGATAGGCACGCGGATATTTCGTGGATTATTTTTTCCAAGTGCGAAAAGATTGGGAGTTGAGATAGAAAGTTATTGAAAGTAGTTTTTCCAATCTTGTTAAAAATCTAGATTGAGTGGGTTTTGGAAACTCTTATGTTCTTACCACCATAGCGATATTTATATTTATTAATTACATGGAGCTATGTTTTCTAGGCATATAGGACCTAGATATACGATATATCAAGATATAAGGTGATGTATATAGAAAACTCAAAACGATCTATAAATTGAAACAGAGATTAGCTCTTAATTTATCTCAATACTATTCAAATATAGCAATATATCAATTAATATTTGTTAATCTTACACTAACAATAATATTACCTCTGTAATTGCTAGCATCTTACGTGTATGGCTCTTAACAAACACCCGAAATCTACTTACCCTCGGCCTCGCAGGAACCACATCTTTGAGGATCATAGCCTGCCGCCTTCCCGAGGCAAACACCAATTTTATGCAAAGCAAACGCATGTTGTCGGGTATCGGTATTAGGGATATCCGAAGAAGGGATCTGAGGACCACGGATGACAACTCGCCTAGATAATTAAGGATGTATTTCAGTCTCGGCCGACCCCGAGGGCATGGGATCCGTCTCGCCCGACCCCTTAGGCATGGGGGCCATGTCGCCCGACCCCAAGGGTACGGGAGCCATCTCGCCCAACCCTGAGGGCACGGGCTCCGTCTCGCCCGACCCCTAGGGTGCGGGCTCCGTCTCGTTCGACGGGAACCCATACCGCCTCCAACCACTACGGGTCAAAAGGTACGACCACAGGGTCAAACTTCTGACACCGGGCAGGAAGCAGGCACGTCTTGACGTGACCCATGGCCACATCAGGCCATGCCCGAGGGGTCACATCACCAACAGTGACAGGTGCGTGGTCGCTATGCTGCCTACTCCCCGTACGGCCGCTGACGGGCACGTCGGTTCACCACGTCGTCCCCCGAGATGGGACGGGATGCCATGACTAGCTGATGACATCGAGACATGGTACCAGTGGTGAATAGGAGCCCGACGTAGAGCCGTCCCCGTCACCATCTACAGCATCGGTGGGACCCGCGTGAAGGAGAAAAAGGACGCGACGGCCCTAGAGGCCTTCTTCTCCCTCGTTTTTCTCCTTCTCTCTCTGTAACCTGCGCCTTCCCCTTCACCTATAAAAGGGGAGGCAGGAGCACACGGCTGGGGGAGAGATAGCTAACGAGCACACGGCTGAACAAGCTCAGCAAGACTCAACTCCATTCGATCTTTTTCACTAGAGACTTGGGAAGTTCTCCCTCTCTTGCTCGTTTGTAACCCCTACTACAAACTAGTGCCGGTAACACGAGCAGCAGCACACTGAACGTATGGACAATCTGCCTGAACTAGTATAAATCCTTGTGTCCTTCGAGCACACCATTCGACCCAAACACGCAGATACAAATTTACTAGCCGGTGGTCCGAAACACCGACAGTTGGCGCGCCAGGTAGGGGCTTTTTGCGCGTCTCGACGTCCACATCAGGCGTCGGATGGCTAGTCACGACGTTAGCTGGATCCTGGGCGCGCGCGTGTGCTTTGAGAACCTAGATTTTATCGTCACGATGGAGAGAGAGTTGGCGCAGGCCTCCGCTGCCATCCAGCCTCTCCACTTCACCGACCTCGACGCGATCGGTGAGGCGCTTGAGGAGCTGCAGCTGCACGCGCTAGAGGCTCACACCCTCGGGAGCGACCAGCTCCTCGGCTTCAATTACGAGAGGCTAGAGCACTAGCTCGATGCCTTCCTGGGACCCTAACCATTCTAGGAGGGCCTGCGCTGCCTCACCTTCTCGTTCGCCAACATCATGACGTACCTTATCGGTGGGGAACCGCTCTCCTCGGAATACCTCATCCAGAGCGCCTCGACAATGTTCCCATTTGGTCTGTGCAATGCTGCGGGGACCGTTGGCCACCTCGTGGCGCAGCACATGCACCCATCCCCTATGAACGATGAGTTCGTGGGGATGACCGAATACGTCGTGGAAACTTTTCATGACCTTCTCGCGGGAGATTTAGAGTCACCCTCCAACTCTGACTCTAATAGGGGGAGCCATCACCGCTCGTGAGAATATTTTATGGCAGGTACCCCCGAGGGATGTGTCGAAAGCATCCACGAGGGAGGGCTACCCCACCAAATGACCTCAATGACGAGGTCGAGGAAGATGCAGGGACCTCGCCTCGCCTACGAGTGGAGTAGCTGAGGGTGCGACACAGGGAACTCAAGGATGTGCGACTCTAGCTAGAGCAGGAGCACGCGGAGCTCGAGCGTCGTAGAGACAGTGGGCGTGCGTGCACCATGGCTCGCGATGTGAGCCAGAGAATCATCGAAGACGATGGAGCCCTCCCACACTTCGCCCGGGCAAGCTAGAACATCACTACCATGATGGCCTTGCTCTAAGGGCTCCCGGAGCCCACAACACTCGAGGATCGTTGGGCCCATCGCGAGATCCACACGCTACTCGAGAGCGCAGCGGTGCAGAAGGTGGAGAGCTTGATGTCTCGGTGAGGTGAGCTTGACGCCAGGTAGCATGCGCCCTCGGGACAACATGTCAGTGATGTGTCCGTCCACCAAGCGCCCCGTGGCGGCGAGGGGCGCACCGTGGCTCGGTTTGCATTAGCGTCTCGGCCCCCACCGTGACGCACGTAACACCCTGGATGCCCGTAGGCGTGGATGAAGCAACAAGAGAGAGGAAGACGGTCGCGGCGAGGACCGGAGCCCGAGCCCTGACCCACCTGGGCCTTAGTCCTTCAGCCGACACATCCTCAACGCTGCCTTCCCACCGTGGTACCGACCGCCAACCAACATCCCAAAATACTCTAGGAAAACGAACCCTTGACTGTGCTCGAGGATTACCGGCTTGCTTGCCAAGCCGGTGGAGCAGATAGTGACAGTTTCATTATCTGCAACCTTCCATTGTTCCTGGCCAATTCGGCACGAACATGGTTGGAGCACCTTCCACCCAACCGGATTCAAAGTTGGGCGGATCTAAAGGAGATTTTCTTGGGAAACTTCCAGGGCACCTACGCGCGTCTTGGGAACCCGTGGGATCTCAAAAACTGGCAACAGAAGTCCAGGGAAACTCTTCGTGAGTACATCCAGCACTTCTCCTGGTAGTGCAACTAGCTGCCTGACGTCGCCGACGTCGACGTTATAGGAGCCTTCCTGTCCAGGACCACCTACGAGTCCCTGGTTCACAAGCTAGGATGGAAGGGCCCGTGAACCACCAAGGAGCTCCTCGACATCACCACCAGCCATGCCTCGGGAGAGGAGGCAGTTAGAGCAATTTTCGATAGCCCCAAGGGCAAGCAAAGTGGGACGAGGACGCTGGCAAAGGTGCCTCCAACCGCTCCAACAAGAAGAAGAACAAGCAGCGCCGCAATGGCTCACTCGTGGTCACTGCCGACCGCAAGGGAGGTCAGAAGCCCATCGAGGGTACCCCATACCACTTCGAGAAGTTGCTTGAAGGGTCATGCCCAAACCATGCCTTCCCCGTCAAGCACCTATACAAAGACTAGGCCCTCATGAAGTGGTTCCTATCCGAGACTAGGCCCTCATGAAGTGGTTTCTATCCGATGGCTCCAATAAGGGGGAGCATAGAAAGGAGCCTAAGCTGGCAGCAGACGACACCGAGGGGAAGGACGGTGGCTTTTCGACATTGGATGGCTGCCTCATGATCTTTGGAGGGTCAACGGTCTACGACTCCAAGCGCTGCCAAAAGCTTGCATGTCGTGAGGTCTATACGGCTGAGCTAGCATCGCCTTCCTTCCTCCGATGGTCGGAGTCCACCATCACCTTTGATTGGACCGACCATCTAGAAAGCATCCCATAGCCGGGAAGATACCCGCTCATGGTCGACCCAATCATTGGCATGAAGTGGCTCACTAAGGGGGTGATGGATGGAGGCAGCGGCCTCAACATCATGTACGCTAAGATGCTCAACACCATGGGCACCGACCAATCGTGCATCCAGCCGACTAGGGCGCCTTTCCATGATATCATGCCTGGAAAGCAGGCCATGCTGCTCAGGCAGATCGATCTACCCATCACCTTCGGGAATCCAACCAATTACCGGATGGAGACCCTTATCTTCAAGGTGGTTGGGTTCCATGGGACCTACCATGCCATCCTAGGACATCCATGCTATGTGAAGTTCATGGCTGTCCCCAACTACACCTATCTGAAGTTGAAGATGTCGGGTCCGCGCTGGGTCATCACCGTTGGCACCTCCTTCCAGCGCGCCTACGAGTGCGAGGTCAAATGTTGTGAACACACCGCGGCGATTGTCGCCTCCAAAGAGCTCGCGGCCATTAGGGAGGAGATCATCGAAGAAGCGCCCGACCCCAAGCGGTCGGCCAGGTCTTTTGAGCCCATGGAGGGCACCAAGGAGGTCCTCATAGACCCCAGCACCTCCGAGGGCAAAGTGGTGCGCACCGGCTCCACGCTTTCCTCCAAATAGGAAAGCACACTTGTTGACTTCCTCCTCGCTAACATAGACATATTTGCGTGGAGACCC